GGGCCAGTGTAGACAGCTCAGTGTTGTTTTCCGCAAAAAAGCCCCGATGGCTAAAATGGCGATTGGGGCTTTTGTGCGGAAAAGCGCGTCTAGATTGGCCATGGATGCTTTTCCGCAAAAAGTGCTTTGGCAGGATGCTTTTCTGCAAATCTAGACGCGCTTTTCTGTTAAAAGCATTTCCGGAAAATCATGCTAGTGTAGACATAGCCATGGGGGAGGAGGGAGGTTTGTTGTTCTTCCAATGCAACTGATCTCGGTGTTCCTATAAATGGCTGATCCTTGGGGGGGGGGCGCTGCCCTGGCCAGTGGAGAGGAGCCCAGTGTAGCTTGCTGTCTGTGGGGCAGTCCGGTCAGCTGTTCATGCTGTGGTGTGGATTAAAGACCTGGCCCTGTGCCAGGCCCGAGATCCTATGGAGCCCGGTTGCCTTTTGCCTCTCTGGGCAGAAACCTTGTGGGCGGGAAATGCCTGTGGCTGGAATGTCCCTGCTGCGGGAAGATGAAACCGACGCCATTGCCCTGAAATAGAAAGGGCTGGAGGGGGAGCGCGTTGGGGTCCGGGGCTGGAGGGAGGCCCCCCGTGACAGGTGCTGCGGGGGAGGGGGAGAAGCGGTGGCAAGCGCTGCTGGTTTGGCAGGCTGGCGCAGGGTTCACCCACCCTGCAAAGGGAGTGGGGATGGCAGGGCGGGCAGGCATTGTGCCAAGGACTCTCATCTAGCTGGGGGCGGGGAGGGCAGTGTGAGCTCCTAGCCATCCCACCATAAGTCTGCCCCACTCACCCTGCACAGCATCTCCTCTGCTCTCTTGAAGCATGCCCAGCCTACAGATCCCCCTCCCCCAGCCCTGTGCACCCACCTGGACTCCCCCACAACATACCTGAGGGGCTGGAGCACATGACCTATGAGGAGAGGCTGAGAGATTTGGGTCTGTTTAGTCTGCAGAAGCGGAGAGTGAGGGGGGATTTGATAGCAGCCTTCAGCTTCCTGAAGGGAGGTTCCAAAGAGGATGGAGAGAGACTGTTCTCAGTGGTGACGGATGGCAGAACAAGGAGCAATGGTCTCAAGTTGCAGTGGGGGAGGTCTAGGTTGGATATTAGGGAAAACTATTTCACTAGGAGAGTGGGGAAGCACCGGAATGGGTTCCCTAGGGAGGTGGTGGAATTCCATCACTAGGGCTGTGTCTAGACTGGCCGGTTTTTTCGAAAAAACTTCCCCTGCGTCTAGACTACAGCCGTGTTCTTTCGAAATTAAATCGAAAGAACGC